AATATTTACTACTTGTGGTAATAAAAATTATATATAATAATAATTACTACATGTAATAATATTTACTACATGTAGTACAATTACTACTTTTTGTAGTAAATAATTATTACATTACTACATTCACGATTTGAATTACGACGCCAATCACTAAGTACAGTACCCTAGCCATGTGAGATTCTACTCGGCTCTGATTGGATCCTCAATAACAATATTATATATTTTTTCAAACTTTGAGCGAAGATATCTCAGTAACTACCTATATGTATTTATGTATATATGGAATTAAGATAAAAAAAAATTTGACGATTTTTAATAGGTAGTTAATGAGATATCTTCGCTCAAAGTTTGGAAAGAACAGCCATTTCTTTGTTTTGATAATCCTTTGTTTAAATTTTTTTGAATTTTAAACAAGGATATCTCAATTACTACCTATCTAAAATCGATGAAAATTTTTTATTTTAATTCTATGAATCAATAGAAATAAAATAAAAAATTTTTATCGATTTTTAATAGGTAGTTATCGAGATATCCTTGTTTAAAGTTCGAAAAAATTTAGACGATTATCAAAAGACTGCGGCTAAGTTCATTACAAATTTGAGCAATGATATCTCTATAACTACCTATCCAAAATCAACAAAAATTTTTATTTTAATTCTAATGAATTATAGAATCAAAATAAAAAAATTACATCGAATTTAGATAGGTAGTTATTGAGATATCCTTGTTTAAAATTCAAAAAAAAATTTTAAACAAAGGATTATCAAAACAAAAATATGGCTGTTCTTTCCAAACTTAAGCGAATATATCTCAGTATCTACCTATTAAAAATCAATAAATTTTTTTATTTTAATTCCATGAATACATATAATTTAAATAAAAGATTTTCATCGATTTTAGATAGGTAATTACTGATATATTTCGCAAAAAAATATATTTTTATTGAAGATCGTTAATTTCGTCCAATCAGAGCACGAGTAGAATCTCACATGGCTAGGGTACTAATAAGTTACCCGGGCAATCGGTTTACATTAGCTAATCGAAAGTTACAATGTGTAAATATTAGATAATAAAACACAAAACCAAATTTACGTTTCACAAATTTTAAGAGCGCGTTAAATTGATTAAAACACAAATGTCTGTTACATTACCAACCAGATTATTAAAACTGACTTGCATTCACTATTGTATGGAAATGATGATAATAAACAAAAGTTGGAGCGCAGAAAAGCTATGAAAGAAAGCCGGTCCCAAACTCTAACTAAGCACGTAGGGGAAATTGTTCACACATGTGATTCCAGCCTATGTTGACTTTTGATAACCACCCTAGCGTTGTCAACCTGAAAATTTCGCAATATTGCTATCCATTGAGAAAAAAAAGTCAATGGAGGTTGAATGGAGCTCATTGGATAAGTATCAATTGAGCTCTATTGATTCATTGAGCTCTAATGACCCCATTGAGATTCTCCATTGGCAAATTTAGATGTAACATAAAATACATATTAAACACTACTTTTCAGGATGGCAACGCTAAGGCCCTAATCTCAGATCCAATCATTGATCATTGTTGTAATACGTTATAATCATAATACAGTACATCAACACATATTATTCATTGACATTTGTGTAATTTCAATGACACGTTACATATTAGAGTCGAATCTAATAAATACCGATGAGTATTACAAACCTTTTAATGAATTTATAAACCATAGAAAATTTATAAATATAGCAAGTGTTTTTTAAACAATTTCAAACTCTCAGCACTTTCAAAAAAAATACAAGAGAATATAAGAATGACAACTCTAACCTTCAACGATCGTGTCAATACCGCAGTGTCCATCGTGACCGAGCAATACCCGGATGCGAAATTGTATGAATCCGATGCTAAGGCTACAGGTGGACCTACGACAGATCCCGACAAAATTAACGAAATGACCGTGAAATTTCAGAATGTAAACAATTCCACAGTCATTATCAAGGAAATCAGCCCCGGCAAATTCGGCAAGCCAGAACTAGTTGATGCGCCATTGTTAGAGGACGTAGTAATCCAGTGGCCGATGGATTTGTCCCGTGCCAATCAGCTTAAAGAAGCAGCTGGATTCAAAGAACCCTATACGACCGTCAATTTACGTAATCCTCTGGGGCCACAAAAAGGAAATCCGCTTTTGATCTTTGGCAACGGTTCGTCACAATTTGTTTTTGTTGACACTGTGACCGGTAAAGTAACTACCGGTAATTGAGCCTACTCAGTGCCGCACCGATTCGAGAATAATTAATTATTCGAAAAGTTATATATTCAAAATTGTTTGCTACCAGAAAAACGGCGACGTTTTTATAAGTTGGAGTCTTAATTATTAGGTTATACATTTAGAATTAAATTTAACGTAGTATTTAACATTTATGGATTGTTATTATTTAGTAACATTACATTTTATAATAAATTCATAAATAAAGTAATCTTTTTATTCCATCATAATCTATTAAAAAAAAAAAAGTTATCGAAAAAGGTTCATTAAGAGTACGAATCCTTGATACGCATACAATTGTAAGGCCCATTGCAAATTCCTTGTTTCCAATATTTATGACGGCTGCTTGTGATATTTCCATACTTTATATGTCTCGTGAATTGTAATTGCCGAGGCGAAGCATAATAAATACGCATTATTACAGTATTATAATCTGTGCTCGGTTTTGATTACGTGATGACGATCATACTTCTTGATAAAAATATTTTCTAAAATTTGAGTCAAGATATCTCGATAACAACTAGACCTACTCCAGCAAAATTTTTATTTAAACTCTATAAATTCATAGAATTCAGCAAAAAAAATTTCATCGAATTTGGTTGTGTGGTTGCCAAGATATCTTCGTCAAATTTTAAGAAAAATTTGGCGCATCTTCTATTTTGACAAGTGTTTTGATTTTTTTTAAAACTTTGAGTGAAGATATCTTGACAACCATCTAATAAAATTCGATGAAACATTTTTTATTTGAATTCTATGGATTCATAGATTCAAATAAAAAAATTTTACCGAATTTAGTTAAATGTTTGTCAAGATATCTTCGCTCAATGTTTAAAAAAAATCAAAAACACGTCAAAATAAGAGCTGCACCACAAATTTCGTTGTGAAGATATCTCGACAACCACTTGGCCAAATATAATAAAGTTTTTTTTTATTTGAATTCTATGGATTTTTAAAATTTAAGAAAAAAAGTTTCATTGAATTTGATTCTATGGCTATCGAAATATCTTTGTTAAAATTTTTTAAAAATCAAAACACTGGCAAATAGAAACTGCGCCAAATTTTTCTCAAATTTTAAACGAAGATATCTTGACAATCACTCGACCAAATTCGATAAAAATCTCTATATGAATTCTATTACAGTAATCTATATAATTCAAATAAAAAAATTCTTTTACTGAATTTTGTTTCATTTTGTCGAGATGTCTTAACTCAAAATTTTGAAAAATTTATTTTTACTTGAGAGGTACGAATACTAAGTGTGGGAGTACGAATCTGATTGGACCAAGTCAGCGATCATCATCACAAAATAAAAAACCGAGCACAGATTAATAATGCAAATAGTGCGACAATAATGTTTTTGAGTTTGATCGTTTGTTTTGATCAATGAATTTTATGAACCCCATTAATCCTGCATGTTACAATTGTTTAACAAGGATTCATGGGATTCACAAATTCATTGATCGCACTAGTTCGAAAACAGCGATAAAACAATGATAGTATAGGGCAAACAAAAAATCATTTGTTGAAATTCTGTATACTACATTGTTTAAACAATAATCATATGCAGGATTCAAAAACATTATTTGCCGCGTTATTCTGTAAAAAGCGATAAATTATCAATTTATTGATTAGTTATCGATCAAATTAAATTCAAACACAAAATGAATTTTCTTATGCAACTTTATACTACTGTACGTATAAGTATGATCTTCAATGAATCGTTATATTTGAAAAGCAAATCAAACCTTATAGGATTTATATAATCGTATATAAATTTGTTCAGTGCTCTAATCAATTAAGGTATTCTTCAACTTAATTATTATTTTTAACTCCTTTTAAAAATTTCAAGCACCTGATTCATATATACGTAATAAGGATAATGACGTAATAAGGTCGTAATTTAATTACCTTAATATAAAAAACTCGTCAACCTGGTTTTTAAAGTAGATCGTATGACGCAAGTATAAGTAACAGTTACGACAATATTTCTACAATTTTTTTTAATTCATATATATATACGTCTTTAAATTTGACTGATCTTAAATGATCACATTCCAAATAGAGTAACCAGTCTTCTATATATAGCCTCTGTTACAATAACAAATTTCCTAAAATTCACTTTTTCTCATGGCATCAAAAATATTTACGGGCGGTATGCCCGAATTAATGGAAATTATCCTTAATAATATAAAAGATGACTTTCATTATTCCTTATACTCATGTGCACTTGTAAACCGACATTGGTGTAAAATTTCAATACCTATTCTTTGGCGAGGACCATTTTTATTCTTTCAAAATCCGTTGTTTATTTCTAATTATTTTTCTTCTCTTGATGAAACCGAAAAATCAACTTTAAAAGAATACGGATTGAATGTAGAATTTTCTAAAACATTATTTGATTATTCAAGATTTCTAAAGACTCTCGATTTATCTTATCTGGAACTTAACGTTAAAAAATGGATTGAATTAAAGCTTACTTGTTCTAAACCATATAATGGTCCATTGATATCTCACATAAGTAATTTATTACTTAAATTATTTATTGAGAGTGGCACTTCTTTGCACAAGTTTGATATGTATTTTTCTGAACCTAGCGAAATTACTGGAAAAATTAATTCTGAGATCTTTCACTCGTTAGGACGAAATGAACAATTTTTCTCTAAACTCCAAGATTTGACCTTAGGTGTAATATCAGAATTCAACTGCGAAAATGCCATTGCAATATTAAATATCTTTGCAAATAATACTACAAAGATTAGTGCTATGAAAATTTATGAATTTTATCCTCATTATGATCCACAAGTAATTCATGCAATTATACGTATTATTAAATCACAAGAACAACTTCGACAATTCTGTATGAATGGTGGTGACCTTCCTAAAAAGTTCCACGGCATTATTTCGGCTTTAGAGAGTCAAAAACATTCATTACGTGAGGTTATATTAGAAGGTTGTGGTTATAGTTCAGAGTTCAAGATGCTGATGAAATGCGAAAATCTAGAAATTCTTCGCATCAGATATAGTGATCATAGGAAAATATTGAAAATACTTGATCATAAAATCAGAACTTTGGAGATAGCTACTTGCGAGATTGATGCATCGGAAATTACGTTAATTTTTGAAAAGTCTGGAGAATTATTACAACGACTAAAGCTTGAATCATTAGATGCGATGATTATAGAAGATTCATTATTAGTAGAATCACTCAAGTCCTTCTGTCCGAACATTACATATCTCGACATTACATGTATTGAGTTTTCCTTACAACTCTTAGATCTTGTCAGTAATTTACAAAAACTTCAATTCCTCACGTTAGGGTGTTCATGGTGTATTGATGAAATATTGGATGATGAACATGTTATGCAGTTTGCAAAAATATTGCCATTAACGTTGCAATATCTTAACTTAAGGAGTTCTTGTTTAAATTCATTTATTGATACTTTACTCAAAAATTGTTATGCACCTTTAAAAAGACTGATAATTAATGACATTGGTAATAAGAAAAAAGTCAAAGCGTTAATCAAATTTTACAAACGAAAAAGAAGTTTGAATTACGTGGGAGTAAACAGATATTGGGAATTGAATTTGGACGTGGATGATAATGTTAGAAAAGTGGAAAAATATGTTACAGTAGTACCATATGAAGAAATTGTTGTCGAATGCTAAATTCTAAATTCTGTAAATTCCTTTTTTTTCTTTTTTTAGTCATTAGACATGTTAGCTTCATTTATAGATTTATAAATATATCTAGTTTTTTTAATACAGTAATGAAGTAATGAATAAAATAGAGCATCAGCGTAATATAATTTCTTTGAAAATTAACAAATATTTGAAAAAAAAATTTATAAATAATATAAGTAATTCACGTCCGAATAATAATAAATTGATCAAAGCCTGATATATAACGATTAGGATCACAAACTCATCATTAATTTTATATAAACATTTGTAATCCAGTGTTTTAAATCCATTAAAATCATACGGTACGGCGATGATCCCTTAAAATAAACATATGGGGGCTATTCAGTAGAAAGGGGGGGGGGGGAGATCTTTTTAATTCTGGTCAAATTGACCAGATTTAAAAAGGAGATCTCCCCCTTTTCTATTTAACAGCGCTCATATAAACAATTTAGTTAATTAGCCTCTAGTTTTTAACGATACTAAATTCCGACTTAAATCAAGTCAACTGTTTGTGTAACACAGACGATCACTTTATTTACTTTACGATAATATAAACAAATATTTAATGTTCTGATGTTAAATCAATTTACTTTATTTCCGTATTTTTCTCGCGAACCTTTATTTACGTGTACGTGCATAATAAGATGACAGTAAAATTTTTTGAAAAACTTTCAACCAACTATCTTGAACTTCTTGACGATAATGAAGATTTTAACGTAATCATAAAAGTTGGTGAATCTTCCGATGCCAAGATATTTCAAGCACATTCAGCTGTTCTGAGATATAGATCTTCGTATTTTCGTAAAGAATTAGCAAACACCAGTAAAGATAAAAATAACATTAAAATGATTAGAATAAAGCATGTATCTATTCAACAGTTCGATATTATTATCAAGTAAGTTATGAATACTTTACTATATCTTTCTTTTTTTAAAAAAAACATAATTGACGATATTAATAAATTTTATATAAAGATATATCTACGGAGGCATAATTTTTTTGGAAAATCTTGATTCAGCATTTATTTTTGAGCTCATGCTTGTTGCTTGTGAATTTTCTCTTGAAGAATTAGTTAAATACCTCGAGGCTTATTTAATTAAAGAATCTCACTGGCTTCGTTTACATTTGATTTACGTTTACCGAAAATGTTTCCAAAATAAAATACTTCAAGAATTACGAAATTGGTGCAACGAAATTGCCTTAAAATATCCAAATAAAGTTTTTGAATCTGAAGATTTTACATCACTTCAAGAAAATGAATTAATCTCTTTGATTAAACGTGATGATTTACGAATGGATGAAGTGAAAATTTGGAATTGTATCATCAAATGGGGAATCGCTCAAAATCCTGATTTACCACCTGATCTTAAAGATTGGTCTAATGAAAATTTTATTACTTTAAAGACTACTTTACAAAATTCCTTACCTTTTATTCGTTACTTTCATATTTCTGGTGATGGTATTTACAATAGTGTAAAACCATATAAACAAATACTCGAAAAAGGTCTTTGGAATGATATAAAAATTCGACTCATGGCTCTCAGTCAACCAATAACATCAACGATCCTTCCACCTCGTATTATTTTATCACAAACAAGATCTGTAGAATCATTTTCAAAAATCATTAATGAAATACATGTTGCAGAAATTGCTTCATGGATCGATAATAAAAATAATATATATTCGGCGGCAAATAATCCCTATGAATTTAAATTACTTTTCCGTGGAAGCAGAGATGGTTTCAATATTGAATCGTTCTGGAATTTATGTAATAAGAAAGCAAGCATAGTTGTAGTAATAAAAGTTAAAGGCACTGATGAAATTCTTGGTGGATTCAATCCTATTGGATGGGAATATAGCGATACTTATCGAACGAAGAATTGCAATAAATGCTTTATTTTCTCATTAAAAAATGGATCTATTAAAAAATCTATTTTAAATCGTATAAAAGATTCAAAAAACGCAATTGGTAATCATCGTGAAGCTTTTGGATTTATTAAAGGATTTTCTATGAAAGGAAATAAAGGGACTTGCTACTGTGTTGAACCTCTTTACATATATATTAGAGATGCATCTACATACAATGATGATGGACGTTCACGTTTTTTGGTGGATGAATATGAAATTTTCCAAATTCATAAAAAATATCGTAATTAACTACAGCTATTATAGATTTCATTTTTTTTTTTCATAGAAATTTAAATAAATAATATAGCATTAAGTGTTCGTGGGATCGCTCATTAATAAATTAGAAATCACTTTTAAACGTTCATTTAACAATTGGTATAAATTATGTTTATTATTGAATAACTTGTTTATCTGAATACTCTTTTAAAGATTTTTAAGATTTTTTTTTTTAAAAAATAAATACTTAAATATAAAAACCTCAAATTTCAGATTCAGGTAAGTGGCGTACAATTGTATCTGATATAATTATATTAGAAGTTTCAACTAGAAAACCTTCTGTAATATTCAATTAATGCTGTTAAACATTTCTTTATTACAGTAATGAATTACGGCCAGAGATTGCTCCAGGAACACCAAATTGCTATATAATTTACATACAAATTTATTAAAAGTAATCCATTAAAGAGGCCAACTACTAAAGAATTTGTTAATCGAGTTATATTTGCATAATTGTACTTCATAGCCACATAATGGCTAAATTTGTGAAACATCAACAGTACTATATATATATATATATTTGCATAACTTACGTACCGTACGTACGTACGTAATTCTTACTCATCCGCTTTAACAGCTACGTACATTCGTACGTACTGTACCTCTTGGAGAAATTTTTGCCGCTCTTTATTAATCAGAAAATATTTTCCTTACGGATATATTCTCACAATCTTGCGAATTTGTTTGAACGAAATTTTTGATAATTTAGTAACTATCATTCACGCACTCTGAAAATTTACATAGCACTACAATTTAGTTTATTTCAAAAATCTTGATTATATTAAAGACACTATGGTAAACGCCCAAGAATGGTTAGACCAAATTTATCCGATAGAAAATAGAAAAGAAATAACCTATTTAGATATCAGCAGTAAAAATTTGGAGGATCAACTAGAACTAACTGATTTTATTAACTTAAATTATTTTGATTGTTCTAATAATGGATTAACTAGTTTAAACCTTAAAGATTGTCAAAGACTAGAAGTGATTCATTGTTATTGTAATAGAATTAGGTTATTAAATTTGCCAAAATTGAATCAGCTTCGAGAATTTGACGCCAGTTATAACCAACTCATTGATATTGATTTATCTGCTTTTAATCCTGAAAATTTGCTTATTCTGAAATTGCACACCAATAATTTTAATAGTCAGGATATAGATTGCTTTTCTTCTTTTACTAAATTAGAATATTTACTTTTCTGTAATGATGTTAGAGAAAGGATTGAGAAAAATGATTACAATCGTTTCTATGGTAGTTTAAAATCTTTGCAAAATATGAATAATTTGAAATATCTTGATATTCGAGCTACGGATGTTGAAAAAGGTTTAGAGTATTTACCAACTGAAACTAAAGAATTTAAGTATACTTCAGATTGGCTTAGACCAGAAGCTAAAGCAACAAATATTTTTCATGAATTTCTGAAGGATTTATCTAGTATAATTAACCCAAATAATCCTTATAATTTTCTTGAACTAAAGCAAGAAATCACTCGTCTCAAATACCAAGAATTGGCCCCACAAGTTCGCAATCAAAAAACTGGATTTGAGAAATTAATGGTAAATTTAAAAGAAAAGGCCGGAGAAGGAAGTTTTGCTCATATAATTGATTTACTACTAACAACCCATCAGCAAAAAGAGCAAGCCACCGAACTTTCCCAAAAAGATAAGCTAAGTGGTAAAATAGAAGCTTATCAAGAAATTTTAGTAGGAGGTAACCTAACTAAAGAGGAATTACAAATCTTTCTCGATCAACAAACTGAACTTTCACAATTAGAAGAACATTTAAATAGCTTGGCCATTAAAGATTAACAAGGATAAATTAAATCTCACCCAAATTAATCATGCTACGAAAAAAAGATTTCGATATTTTAAGTAGAGTAAAAAAATAGTGCTTCGTCAGATGAATTTAAATTTTTTGAAACCATAAGTGGAAATGCAGATACATCAATTTTCTGATACTCCTTTTGTTACTGCTTTTATTTGTTAATATATTCGACAAATTTCTATTGATGGTCCTCTTTTTCCCGCAATTAATATTTGTATATTGTTTTTATTCTAAATTTTTATTCTAAATTTTTATTTTTATTTTTTTTACTTTTTTTTTTGAATTTATGAAATATCAAAAAGTATAATGTTATATACAGTAAATGCATGCTCTTGGGGTCAACTTTAATAACATGCACTTAGAAAATAATAAAGAAAAGTGCATTTATAATGGTCATGTAAATATTTGAGCCTGAATTTGAACTGTATTTGAAAGGTACACTTATAGAGGTTTTATATTATTTAAATTAATTATAAACATTTTAAGTAGTTGATTGTTTTCTTAATCTAAATTTTTATGTATTGCTTAGAAATTTAATATAGTAATCACAACTTTCAATAAAAAAATTTAGGTTGTAATCTGTGTTCGAAATTAGTTGTTCTTAGAGTTCTCATGAGAACTCTATTATAAATTTGTGCACAGTATAAATTTTTTACTGTTCACTATCAAAAATTTTTCGAGAACAGTAAAATAATAATAGTGTTCTCATAAGTATATAGAGTTGAATCAATAGAAACCAAGTAAATATTTTTTAATAAGTATTTTTAAAAACTTTAAACAAGAATAACTTAAAAAAACTTAATCAAACTTAATAAATTTTTTTAAATTAATTCTACATGTTTGTAACAATTATTTAAAAAATTTTATAAGCTTTTGTTAAGTTATTCTTGTTTAAAGTTATAAAAATTTTTATTAAATTTGGTTAAGTTATTCTTGTTTAAATATATAAAACTATAGCGAACTATAGCGATAGTATATATTTTCTAATTTACTGTTCTTTTTTTTTTTTTTTTTGTGAACATAAAATTGTACCTTGAGATCACCTACATCTATTGCACTGTTCTATGAGAACAGTATTTAGATCTGAAATTTTGAACACTGGTTGTAATGCATTGAAATAATTATAAGTTATTAAAACATATAAAATTTTTTTTTAGAAGTTTTCAAATTTTGACCCAGCCGGGTTATGAAAACAAATTAATTAAATTTTGTATAGCCTAATAAATTATCTGTTCTTATACAAATCTTCATTTAAACTATATAAATAATATAAAATTAAGTAGAATTTATTAGCTAATTATATAACTTTAATAAATTTTTTTGTTATAATTGTATTTATTCTATCAAAATTTTAAAATTTTAGTACTTATTATTTAGAATTATATAATTTGTTAAACAAGTACAAAAATACTATATTTTGCTACTTTTTTTTATAATTTTATTAATATTTTATATATTTTATAATATTATAAAAAAAATTATTAATTTATAATTTGCTATTATTATATATTTATCTTTAATTTAAAAATATATAGTATAGTTCCGTTAACTATTCTGTTTATATCTTAATTAATTAGTTCTTGTAACATATCAAATCTATAAAATAATCCCGTCTTTTTTTATAGTATTACAATTTTTTACTGACTTAAAATCTGATTTGCAAATATATTATAACAGAACTTACAATAAAATTTCTATTTTAATAAAGTATTTCATTTAATAAGATTGCTAAACTTGTTCTTACTTGAGAACAATTTTAAAATAAGTATAAAATTTGTGATTTTATAATAAAAATGATTTTTGAGGATATTATAACGGTTTGCAAAAAGGTGTGACTCTGTGATTTCGTGATAGCGGAAAAATTTCTGAGATTTTAACTCCCTATTTATCATAATTTTCAATCAATAACGTCTATATTTTAATTCTCCAAGAATCTGATTTTCATGACATCATGATCTGCAGAGGTCATACCTTTTTGCAAACCGCCATAACAATAATCAAGAATCTAAAAATTTAAATATTTCTTAAAAAAATTTTTAGACATTTTTCACTACATCGGACCACTCCCGCACCACACAAACTCTGCGCAGATTCTAGCTAATCAAATTAAATATCCTTTGGATCAACTGTTATATCAAATCACCTGCAAGATCATTTGGTGGGTGCGATTATCTTATTTATTGAACAAGCTTTTAATTATAACATGATGACAGTGAAATTCCTTGAAAAACTTTTAGATAATTACCTTGAGCTTCTTGACGATAATGAAGATTTTAATGTGATCATAAAAGTTGGTGAATCTTTTGATGCTAAAGCATTCCAAGCGCATTCAGCTGTTCTGAGATATCGGTCTTTATATTTTCGTAAAGAATTAGCAAATGCAAATAAAGATAAAGATAACATTAAGACGATTAATTTAAAGCATGTCTCTATTCAACTATTTGATATTATTATTAAGTAAGTTATCGAACATTTTGGGTGCTATACTTTTTTAAAAAATTATTAACGATATAATAAATTTTATATGAAGGTATATTTACGGAGGCATTATTTCATTGGAAAATCTTGATTCATCAACTATTTATGAGCTTATGTTAGTTGCTTGTGAGTTTCTTCTTGAAGAGTTGGTTAAATTCTTAGAAGCTTATCTTATTAAAGAAGCTCACTGGCTTCGTTTACATTTCGTTCCCGTTTACCGAAAATGTTTTCAAAATAATATGCTTCGAGAATTACAAAACTGGTGCAATGACATTATAGTAAAATACCCAAATAAGGTTTTTGATTCTGAAGACTTTACATTGCTTCAAGAAAATGCATTAATCTTATTGATTAAGCGTGATGATTTGCTAATGGAAGAAGTGAAAATTTGGAATTATGTCATTGAATGGGGAATTGCTCAAAATCCTGGCTTACCATCTGATCCTAAAAGTTGGTCCAATGAAAATTTTATGACCTTAAAGGCTACTTTACAAAATTGCTTGCCCCATATTCGTTACTTTCAAATCTCTGGTGATGATATTTACAATTACGTAAAACCATATAAGCAAATACTTGAAAAAACTCTTTGGAATGACATAAAAATTCGATTAATGGCTCTCAATCAACCAATAACATCAATAATCCTTCCACCTCGTGTTATTTTATCACAAAAGCTACCAACCAAATCTACAAACCTTTTTTCAAAAGTCATTAACGAAGCACATGCAGCTGAAATTGCTTCATGGGTAGATAATAAAAATGATATATATTCAGTAGCAGATAATCCATATGAATTTAAATTACTTCTCCGTGGAAGCAGAGATGGTTTTAATATTAAATCGTTTTAGGATCTATGTAAAAAAAAAGCAAACATTGTTATAGTAGTAAAAGTTAAAGACACTGATGAAATTCTTGGTGGATATAATACGATACTTATCAGAAGAAGTATTGCAATCATTGCTTTATTTTTTTATTAAAAAATGGATCTATTAATAAGTCTATCCTGAGTCGTGTGAAAAATCCAGATGAAGCACTTTGTAGTGAACGTGATCTCTTAGGATTTTTTAGTGGTCTTACTATGAGAAGAAATAGCTGGCGTTGTCTCTATAATAGCCGGAGTATCATCTATGAAAGAATTAGAGATGCATCTACATACAATAATTCTGGAGTTTCACATTTTTCGGTGGATGAATATGAAATATTCCAAATTCATCAAAAAGTATCATAAATATCTGTTATTAAAACTTCATACAGTATATTATAAAACTCATTCTTTCATTTTTTATTCTTTTATTATGATATTTAAATTCAAGAAGGATCTGGAAAGTAACTTTGAAATTAAATAAATCATATAACATTAAATATTCGCAGGATCGTTTATCAATAAATTAGCAAATCTCTTTCGAATATGAATAGCTATTTGTGAATAAGTAAATAAGTCCATATTAAAATTTTAAAAAGATTGCAATACGATATTTTCAATTGGATAAAATCATTTTAATGATTCAAAAATAATTGAAATACTAAAATATAAGAATCTCAAATTTCAGACTTAGCCTTATCATGATAAATAAAAGAATCATTTGCAAAATGATGTAACACTTGAAATAATATCGTTATTAACGAATAAACGGCATATATAGAAGCATCAGGTATATTTATATCAGAAGCTTCAACTGGAAAACTTCACTTCTGTAATATTTCTCATAACGTTGTTAAACGCCTTTTACTTAATTTAATTAATTATGGCCAGAAATAGCGTCTAGAACACCAATTTCTATATATAATTACTAAATCAACTTATGGGTGGTAGTTATTAAAGAAGCCAACTGCTAAGAACCTTACAAAAAATTTTAAGAAAATAATTACCAAAAAAGATAGAAGAGTTAAATATTCTATGTGGAAACCAACTTTGTTCATCAAGATGCTAAATAACAGATATGTATCTCAACTTATTAATGCTTTAGGTAAATATAATGTGATTTTTGTTTTATTCTAAACATTTAAATTTTAATCTGATTTTATCATTATAGATTTTATAATATTAATCTTGAAAATACATGATAATTATTTTAAGAAATAATAAGATCTAGATGAGTTAAAGGCTGTTGAAACGAAGAACATCATTTCGTTAACATAATTTTAATTTTTGCAAAGCAGGGTACAGTCTAAAATTCTCACTAATTAGCATTCATGTTAAGGTTATTATCAGATTTAAAAGAAATTTTTATTAAAGATAGTTTATTACATTTTGAATAATTCTTTGTTTAAACCATCTAGTTTCCGTTTTTATTGGCTGATAATCATGCGTTCTAACTTAATCAAGCTCAATGACGGATGCTTTTCTCTTTTTTTTTCTTATTGCAAGTGCAAAGGGGTTAAAATACGAATTTTTCTATGCAAGACAATTATAATAAACAAGGCACTTGTATTTGATACTTGAGTAATATTCCTATCTATTTTGCCAACGAATTTACCAATTGAATTGTTTTGTGTTACGGTTATC